CTATTGATCTTATATCCTGTAACTTTGATGAACTTGTTTATTGGTGCACTTAAAAATTTTTCTATACACAAGGTCATGTCATCTGTGAATACAGATAGATACTTTTACTTCTTTCTTTTCAACCTGGATGCCTTTTCTTTTTCTTGTCTATTTTGCCCTGGCTAGAAGTTTGTTTTGTTTTTTGTTTTTGTTTGTTTTTTGTTTCTCTAAAATAAGTAGTAATGTCCCCTCTCTGTTCCTAATTTTACTATTTTGAGTCTTCTCTCTTTTATTCTTGGTTAGTCTATCTAAAAGTTTGTCAATTTTTTTCCCTTTAAAAAAAGCCAACTTCAGTTTCATTGATTTTCTCTGTTGTCTCTCCCTTCTGTGTTTAATTTATTTCCATTCTAGGTTCCTTCTTCCTGTTGGCTTTGAGTTTAGCTTGCTCTTCTTTTTTCAATACTTAAGGTTGGGAGATTAAGTTATTGATTTGAGATCTTTTTTAACATAGGTGTTTATAGCTATAAATTTCCCTCTAAGCACAACTATAACTGCATCCCATAAGTTTTGGTATGATGTGTTTTAATTTTTATTAATCTCAAAGTTTTTTCTAATTTTCCCTGAGTTTTTTAATCTTAATCAGTTATTTAGAAGTATGTTGTTTAATTTCCACATATTTTTGAAATTCCTAAATTTCTTTCTGCTATTGATGCCTAACTTCATTCCATTGTGATCAGTAAGCATACTTTGTATGATTTCACTCCTCTTAAATTTATTAAAGCTTGTTTTGTGATCTAACATTTGTTCCCTCCCGGAGAATGTTTCATGTGTACCTGAGAGGAATGTGTATTCTGCTCTTCTTGGGTGGAAGGTTCTATAGATATCTACTGGCTCTAGTTGTTCTATCCATTATTGAAAGTGGAGTATCAACGTTTCAAACTATTACTGTTGAATTGTCTGTTTCTCCTTTCAATTCTGTCAGTTTTTGATGGGGCTTCATTGTTTGTCTTCCTGATGGATTTTATCATTGTAAAATGCTCTTATTTGTCTTTGGTAAAAATGTTTGTCTGAAAGTCTGTTTGGTCTGATGTTAGTATAGCCACTCCAGCTTTTTCCAATGTTCTCTTTGCTTTTATGAAGGAGCTGATTTTCAAAGGCTTTTAGCTAACCATTCTGGAAAGTAGAACCTCTGACTAATTCTTAAATACGCTTATAGATAATTTTTCTGTTTTTAGGCCTGCTTTCTCCCCTATTTCCAAAGTTGCCTTCTGAAGATGGTACAATACTAGGTAGCTTCATTGCTTCAATTCCTGCTTAAGATCCATTTGCTTGGGTCTGTCTGCTAAGTCACTTCCATGGATCCTTCTGCTTCCCAGCTTCCAAAATTTTATAACTGTTAGCTCTTTTTCTATATTCTTTGCCCTTTATCACTTAAAAATGTCTTTCCTCTTAGATCAATGGATTTTCCAATTAAAGGGTTCAATGAGTGATTTAAACATTTAACCTGTGTTTGAGGGTAAACCCTTTAGCTGTTAGTCACTTTATTCGAAGCAACCTGAATTTTCTTGTATATTCTCCAGAAGTTTTAAAAATGATCAGAGGGCTGTTTTACTATCAGGGATCCAGGCAATATCCTAAATTAAAAATAGTGTGTGTATTAACTTTTAAATTTAGGCATGGAATTTGGACACCTTTGATTCAATGCAAGAATAATCAGCCACTTCCAGGTCTGTTCACTACTTGATTTTTCATAGAGCAGTTGTTCCCAAACTTGACCATGCACCAGAATCACCCAGAGGGCCTGTCAAAATACAGGTTTCCAGGCTCCATCCCCAGGGTTTCTGATTTAGGAGCTGGAAGCGAGGCCCAAGAATTTGCATTTTCAGCAAGTTCCCAGGTGATACTGAGGCTTCTGGTCCTGGGACCACACTGAGAGTCACTACCTTTGTGGTGTGTGGAATGTAAAGGTATTCCCTGTGGGGGTGGGGAGGACTTTTAGGAAGCAGATGAGAGCAGAGAGGGAGAGCAGTAAGGGGGAGATAAGCGCGGAGGAGAAGGATGTGCCCACTTGCTCTTATCCTGTTGTTCTAGCTTGTGCTCTCCTGTTTTGTCCCCTCTCTCTGCAAGGAGGAAACCATGACAAAATCTGCTTAGAGAAGAGGCTCTTGACATCAGAATTGTAATTCTGTTCAAGGGGAGAAAAAAGGAGTGAAGTGACCATCCATGAAAAACATTAAACTGTAGCCCTGCAGATGTGTTTTTACGTGGCATTTTAAAGGGGTTGAGGAGTAGGAGCAGGGTCTGGAGAAGTCAGGGCTAATGTAATTTTTTTTTTTTTGCGGTACGCGGGCCTCTTACTGTTGTGGCCTCTCCTGTTGCGGAGCACAGGCTCCGGATGCACAGGCTCAGCGGCCGTGGCTCACAGGCCCAGCCGCTCCGCGGCATGTGGGATCTTCCCGGACTGGGGCGCGAACCTGTGTCCCCTGCATCGGCAGGCGGACTCTCAACCACTGCGCCACCAGGGAAGCCCGCTAATGTAATTTTATGAGATGCTCTACATGCAATATTGCTAAGGCAGCAGGATTCTGGGCAATTTTGTCAGGTAGTCACTTGTCCCCAGGTTTCAGTTATCTCCTAGGATCCCCCTTTTCCTTGTTGCAAGTCTGAGAAGGCAGGGACACTGCCTAAGCCACATAGGCAGAGGGTCAGACCTAGTTGCTGGTTTGGGCCACAGGTAGGAGAAACTCAGACTTAAGGCCGTTCCTCTGGGTTATTTTCATGTAGCCATTTGCTGTCATTGTCTCATGTTCAGCCATCTTTCTTTGTTCTCAGAATGTTCTTCCATAATATGGTTGCAAATATTGAGGGCTAAAGCTGTGGCTGCCAATGATAGTTTTCCAAAGGATAGAGGTAATTGGGAGGAATCCCAGAGAAGTGAGAACTCAAAACCCTTGCCCTCTGTGAGGCTGCCTTTCAGACACTTTTATTACAAAATGCAATGCACCTGGATAGTTCCTGCTGTCACTTCCCAAAGTAAGGAGCTGGGAGAGAGGAAACGGGGTCTGGATACATAGATGACATGAGAAAGCAGGTTGTAGGAGACTAGTTTTGCCTCTAACTTGTCACTTCCTTTCTTAGGCCTGGTGTGTGTGTGTGGAGTGTGTGTGTGTGTATGTGTGTGTGTGTGTGTGTGTGTGTGTGTGTGTTTAATCCATAAAATGACGGTTTGGTTTCAGACATTCCCAAAGGTGCTTCGTCTCTGGTAATCTTTGACTTTTCCAAGATCACCTCTTATATCTTTTGGGCAGCCAGCGTAGGAAATCAAGTCTCTTGACTTCTCCAGTAGAGCTCAGAGCACACAGAAGATTCAATCTTCCCTAAACCATGTGGTCCCAGAGGTTGCCTGTGATTTCCTGTTAGCGGTTTTCAATGGCTTTGGAGTAGAAGGAAGTTCGTTGCTATGACAGTCAGGCAGCCACACTGGGGAAAGTATGATGTATTGTGTTGTGTAGGAAAATGTTAGTATTATCCAATGCAGTAATCAGATTTTCAGACAAAGGCATGACCCTGGAACATGCTGTTTATGGCTGAGCATAGCATTAGTCTTGTCTCCAAAAGCAGTTAAACAAAATCAGTGTGTACTTGGCATGTCTTTCTCCCTTGGATATGGAAATATATCTCACCTGAACATTTTTCTCATTCTTATTTTGGAGGCAACTAGATTGCTCTGAAAATATTAGTTGTAGCAGTAATTAATTTAGCATTTATTGAGCACCAGGCTTTGTGCTGGTGAAGTACTTTTTGTGAAGTAACAAAAATATAAAGAAACACCCCGAGGTAGGGGAATCTATCTAGTGGGGAGAGAGGAGAGAAAGGCAAAAACAAAAACAAAACAAAAAAAAACCCCAAAGGCCAATATTCATTTATCTATCCCTCCTTTTATTCCTCAGGGATTTATTGAGCATTTGCTATGTGCCCAGCTCTCTACTGAGTGTTAGGGATATAAAAGTGAATAAGATAGACACATCTCTGTGGTCCCTCAAAGCCATGCTTCAAATGAAGTTTGTTTAACCTTATAGTAGAGGAGGCTGGGTCAGCCTGTGATGGATGGACATGTAGAGTAGATCAGGATCTGTGGAGGGCTTCCCAGAGGGGTTGACCTGGGAACTAAAGCAAAGTAGAAACAGGTACTAGCCAGAGGAGCAGTGAAACAATGGCTGGACAGAGGAAGTGCTTAATTGGGGATAGAATGCAGATTTAAGGAGGAACAGGAGGAAATGAGACTATAAAGGTAGGCAAGGTTCAGCTCCTGAAAGATGTTTTATCCCTTGCTGAGGACTTTGGACTCCAAACTAAGGTGATAGGGAAACCACTTAAATATCTGGTAATGGAGGAATTATTACAGGAAACTCAGCCATTTAAAACAACATAAAATGATATAATTGTATAGATTTTAAATAATAAAAAGTAGAACATAAACATTGTGTGCTCACTGTGATTGGTGATTTATACGATATAATTTTGACTATGTTAAAGCATGGGAGGATGTCTAAAAGTGGAGTCTATTATTTGCATTGTGAGATTCTTTAAGAATTCCTTTACAGTATTCACTAGCATCGAATCTCTACTATGTGCCTGTAGATGAAGATACAACCCCTTCTCTCTACCATCAAATAGAGAGAGATCTAATAACTTTCACGCATTTTAAAAGGTGCGTGACTATGAGATGTCCAGAATAGGCAAATCCATAGAGACAAAGAATAGATTTGGTGGTTGCCAAGGTCTTGCGGGGAGGAGAGAATTGGGAGTGACAGCTAACAGGTCCAGTGTTTCCTTTTTGGGGTGATAGAAATGTTCTGGAATTAGTTCACGGGGATGTTTGTACAACACTGTGAATATGCTAAAAACCACTGAAATGCACACTTTGGTTAAAATGGTTAATTTTATGTTATGTGAATTTTATCTCAATAAAAAATATAGAAAAAAATAAAGATGATTATTGTGTTTTTCTTTTTCGGTAGCCAAGGGCAATCGGAAGTGTGAGCTGAACTGCCAGGCAATGGGCTACCGCTTCTACGTACGGCAGGCGGAGAAGGTCATTGATGGTACCCCCTGTGACCAGAACGGCACGGCCATCTGCGTGTCTGGGCAGTGCAAGGTAAGTGCCCCTGGACTGGCGTATCTGGAGTGGGTCTCGGGTGTTTGATCTGTGCCTGCCGACTGCACTGTTCGCCAGGCTGTGGCGTGCTTCCTCCCCACATGTTATGGTCCCCTCCACTCCAAACCATAAGCTCTGGGAGAAGTGCGTAAGACAGGGCGGCTTGTTTTGCTCCGTGTTTTCGATCTTTGGGAGTTGCCAAGTCTCACTCTGGCATTTCAGTTATTAAGTGACTTATGCATGTTTATATCACGTGCGTCGTAAGAAACTCAGTGATCTTTCCTTGGTTGGATCCAAAGCTTCTTCCTTCCCTCTGAAGTGGAGGTTATGAAAAGGGCACTGCTGGATCAGTCAAGAAGCAGTTGAAGTCATCAGGGTGGCATTTTAAGGGCATGGCGTATTTTATCTTGCCTCCCACCAGCTGGGGCCAGCTTCCAAATGAAAGTTGTCTAGTGCCTTTATAGCTGAAGTTGTACTTTCAACAGGAAGTTTTTAGCCTCCTTGTAATTCTGAAGTCTGTTCCAAGAACTCCCCGCCCTGCATTCTGCAAACATTCTGGTCTGTAGAGAATCCCTGTGGGATGCTACCCTTTGACAGAAAGCACCATGTGGTTAAAACTAGGTGCCCCAGAGGAGATGGCACCAATTCCACAGCCACATTAATTGGAGCCTGGATGTCGACCCTCCTTTCATCTATAAATGTAAGAGTGGAGGTCTGACTCTAGCAGGTAAATGACTCTTTGGAGCCCAGACTATGATTCTATCTTAATTAACAGTTGCTGGCAGGACTGAGTTTCATCAAAGGAAGAGCTCTTTGGCTGTCACGTCTAAAAGTTCCTGTTCTGCTTTCAACGTAAATTGCCACTGTGTTTAGTATTAGAGCTATTTGAGTATGATTTATAAGCACCCCCCTTCCCCTTCCAGCCTTTTTCTTAATGAGGTTTTAAATAGGATACACAATAATTTATCAAAGCAGTATGGATATTCTCGGATTGTGAATAAAGGAAGGAAAAAGCTGTCATTTGATACCTGATGCATGTGAGGTTGTCTTCGGATGAGCAAGAAACCCCCAGAGCATTGATGCAGTACAAGAGAGGTAGGGAGTATGATGGGAAGCACGCTGAAGGCTGGGACCTATCTGGCCTCCAATTTCTGCTCGTTTGGAAAAAACTGGGTTTCACGCATCCCCTCTATCCTTATTGTCCTCAGATAATACCCAGAGGAGTTCCGTTAGTGTTTTGTGGTTTCCGGCTCAACTTAGTCCCTGCTTCTAAATGCTACTGAACCTGAAACAATGCACCTTATAGCAACCTAGCTTTTTCTTTCAGATCCTGAATCAACTGTTCTATTTCCTGAATACAGGTGCATACTGCTGGGAGGTGGTGTAGTTTAGTGGTTAAAAACATGCCCTCTGAAGTCAGGCTGCTTGGGTTCAAATCCCACCTCTTCCATGATTGACTGTGTGACCTTGTACAAGTCCCGTAAGCTCTCTGTGCCTGTATATCATTTACAACAGGAGGAGGATGGTACCTACTTCCTGCGTCGTAGTGAGGAGTCACGAGCCAGTACACGTAAGGTCCTCATAACAGGTCTGCCACTTAGTAAAGCATGCTGGCTTTTCTTAGTATTATGTTTGCTTATGCCCACATACGTCCTGTTGTATATGAATTTTCTATGCGAAAGTATTTATTTTTTTTTGCAGATTGTAGATTTGTGAGATTCACATTGTCTTTTGAGGCAGTGTTCTTACACTGTAGTGTGACCCACGGGGGGACGGCGGATTCTACATTGGTAGGTCTAGGGAAGGGCCTGAGTAGTCTATTTTTTAAACTTTAATACTGTATCTTATTTGACCTAGTATATCCAAATTATTATCATTTCAACATGTAATCCATATAAAAATTATTAATGACACATTGTTACATTCTTTTTCCTATTAATTCTTCAAAATCTGGTGTGTATGTTACTTCTTTCAGTGCAACTCAGACTAGCCACGTTTCATATGCTCAGTAGGCACATGGGAAAAGGTGCCAAACCTCACACGTAATCAGGGAAACTCACCAGATTGCCAAAAATTTAAAGGTCTGACAATGACAAGTATTGGCAAGGATACAGAGGACTCTTTTTTTTTTAACTTTTTATTTTATTTTGGAGTAGAGTTGAGGAGTCTGTTTTTCCAACAAGCTCCCATGTGATGCTGATACTGATACTGCTGGTCTGTGGATCCTACTTTGAGTAGCAAAATCTTAAAGGACACAGTGATTAAAATACAGTTCACAAAGAACCAGAACTGTAAATATACAGCGGTGAGATGAGTTGGAAGGAAGAGGAAATGTGGTCTCTTTCCACTGGGGGAGCTTGTTTTCTTAGTGTTACGTTAAGTGCCGCTAAGCTGATGATATGAAAGGAAAACACACACTTATAAGGACATGGGTATGGATTCGTACTAATTGATGAAAACCAGTGGTGTAGGACAACACAGTTTGAAGACGATAATTGCTGAAAGACTGAGACAGACATTCCCCAGGATGTGAGTAGATGAATAGGAATTTGATGTTACAAGGACAACTTTGATATTACTTCGTATTTGTTCTCTGTGCATTTGCCTGAAATTCGTTCATTGATGTTGTTGGAACCACTGACTGTCGCGTCCTCTTTAGAACTTCAGTCTAAATAATCAGAAGTACATTTGCTTCCCAGGCTGAAGTTCTGTTTAGTTTGCAACTTTCAAAGGGTAAAGTGCCCTTTTCTGAATATTTGATCGGAAGCCCAGAATGCAAGTTGCTATCTCTGCCTCGCTGACCTGTGGCTGAGAGAGCTGTCACTCTTTGACAGGAGCGTCTACATCTGAAATAGCTCCAGAAATCCTCTGCTGGATACAGAGAGTTGAAAGCAAACCTGGGCCTGCCACAAAAGTTAATGAAAAGTGACAAGCATTAAATAAGAGTACGAGCTAAACCTACACAAGAGCAGCTGAGGGAGAAGGGCATCCTCCTGACACCAAGCCACTTCCAAGGCACCCCAGGCCCACCCAGAGCAAGCTGGAATGCTCTGTTCCAGCTCCTGGCAGAGCGCTCCCTGGCCAGCCTGTGTTTACCCTGTTGCTGGAGCTCCACTGGGGTTTTAGATCCAAGAGTTGGAAGAGGGGCTGTAAGAATGCAGAAACCCTTGAGCTCAGGGCTGGAGAACATAGGAATTCCTCGCCAGTCCCTCAGAACTGGGTAACAATTCCTTTCTTTTTTTTTTTTTGCGGTACGCGGGCCTCTCACTGTTGTGGCCTCTCCCGTCGTGGAGCACGGACACGCAGGCTCAGCGGCCATGGCTCACGGGCCCAGCCGCTCCGCAGCATGTGGGATCTTCCCAGACAGGGGCACGAACCCGCGTCCCCTGCATTGACAGGCGGACTCCCAACCACTGCGCCACCAGGGAAGCCTCAACACTTCCTTTCTTGACAGGGAATGAAGCGTCCTAAATGTTGGCCTCAGACTAAGGACTGCATATCGATAGCCAGGCTTTGAAGGGAGAGAACTCTAGCCCTGACTTGTCCTAAATCAAGAGGGTGTATCTGAAGCCCACAGAGATTCTGCCTTCCTCACCTTAAACTCATCCCTCTAGACATCAGATAGGAACATCTGGCCCATCTTCAGAGAAGTCTCTGCCCCACCCAGTCATGTTTGTCATTGATGGGAATGAAATAGCATTTATGTCTAATTAACAGAGAGCACAGTAACCATTTCTATCATTAAGCATCACATTAAGTGTGCTATGAGGTTTTTTTTCCTTGATCTCAGTTTCAAGCTCTGCAAAATTCTGGATTTTCATAGTTTGATAATGTACATATTATTTTTGCTGACAAGTTAATGCAAATAGATGGAACTTTGCCTTCAAAGGTATAGCACCATTTGAAAGAACAGGGTCCCTTGGATAAAAACTAAAAAAAAAAAGGCACAAAAAACAACCTTAGCTCCCTGGAGACCAGCCTTTCAGAAACCTCAGGCTTTCAAACTTGAATGATCCTGAAAGAGTCAGACTCACCCCAAGACCTACCCTCCCTCCCACCAGAAAAAAATCCCTGATGGTGGAGAAACAGTCCTTGAGTAAGTGCCTTGAAATAATAGGCTGACGCAAAACCTCCATGCAGGAAGGTGTTGAAGCTAATGCACACAGCAAGGAGTTGCTTCTGAGTGTTTACCCTATGCCAGACACTGTGATGTGTGCTGTTCATACAGAAGGAGGCCTTAAGCCATTTGTCTTCACAATAACTCAGTCAATATGCATTATTAGTCCCCATTTTACAGAGAACTGTTATGAAGGCAAAATGAGTTGGATAATATTGGCTTTTTAGGGTGAATTGTTAATCAGAACAGAAAGAGTAATTTAAATGTGATAGGTGGAAACTCTTGTGCTTTAGGTGTCTCCCCTATTCTGATTTTATTTTCCTCACTGCGTCTTTCCAAAACAAACTGTCTTTCTAAAACACATTAGGATATGCCTCTCTTTTGCTTAAACTCCACCTGTGGCTCCCCACTGCCTGTGGAATAAAGTCCAGGCCCTTCATTGTCTGTCTCCTGCCAGGCCTCCTGGGGCCCCAGTGCTGGCTGGGCTGGGATGTGTTGCTCCCTGAGCCAGGGGGCCTGCAGGGTTGTGCCTCCACAAGAATGAACACACTGTCTGGCAGCCTGGAGAGCCGTTCCACCTCCACTCTTGGGCCACCCGGTGGACTCGGCTCAAAAGCCACTGGCTGACCCCACTGAGCACTCACTGTTTCTGTTCTTGTTCCCACTTCTTGTGATTATTTGTTCCCATCACCACTGCCTACCACCCATCCAGGCCAGGAGCAGTTCCAGGCACTTTGCTTTTGAATAGGTACTTAAAATAAATGTGTAAATGAATTGAGGTACTTGGTGACTTAATCTGTTGGATTTCAGCAAATGAAATTAGTCTTGAATCCAACACAGAGCTTTCTCTTTTGGCTGGGATGGGGAGTTGAGGGCTGATAAC